AAACTGGACGAGGGTACGGGCAACGGAATGCAGAAGCTGAGACATTCTAATTGTATTTCATTTCGCAGATACGCTTGTCTTGACTCTCAACTCTCTTTTAACTGGTCTGGGGATTCCGATCGCCCTGAAGAATCCTTTCGATCTTACGCCGTCCCTGATCCTTGCCACTTTCGAGTCTATGCTCAGAACTCGTCTCCCGGTCTCCGCGGAAACGCGGAAATCAGCAACCTACCCTGCTCGTGTGGAGGCTATGAAGATATTCATAGGAGTCCTCGAAGACGACGTTCTTGGTGTCGATGTTGGCCTAGAAGAGATAGACCCGAGGCGTCTGGCAGAAGGACAGCATGAAGAAGTGGTATACGTTGCAGAGATTCTATGTTGGCTTGGGAAGAAGATGAACTACATTTCGGGGGATGGATTGTCTGTCGGGAATATTGCCTTACCAAGGGAGGCCATAAGGAGGTCTGAGAATGCTAAACCACCTCCGTCACCCTCACTACACTCTACAGTCTCAACAAGTCACGACTCGTCTCTGTTGATGCATACGACACGGAGCTTTGACGAGTCGCAGACAACTATGAGTGTTCACGATGAATCTGAAGATGACGCTCTCCCTAATTTTGACGATGGGTCTCGTACAATATCGAGAGTACGCAACGTGGATGATTTTCCACAATCACGAATGCGCAGGAGACAGAGTCCATTGAGACATAACAGTGAAGCAGACTCCGTCGAAGACCATATCGACGATTCTTTCTGCCATTGTCCACCGGACATGTCAGACTGCTCAACTGTGATCCCTCCTCTTCGTTCAACAGGGCACTTGGAGAAGATTGACTTCGATAGCGAACTCAAGTCATATGAGGCATGGAAAGAAGAGACGTCGCTTAGATCGCAGTCGCTTACTCACAACGTGGGGACCATCAAGCCGCGTCTTTCTGTAAGCCAGATTTCAATGAGTCAGACGGATTGCTTATCGCCTCGAATCCTTCTTCTAGGGTGCGCACTTGCGTACACCGCCTCGTAATAAGACTGAAACACAAAGTACACATGGGATTGTCACACGCCATACATCACCGTCTCAGCACACACTTGCACTATTGAACGAACGTGCTCGTCTCCTCTCGGAACTTTCGAAGTTCAAAAGATGGCAAGGCTAATCATGCATCTCTCCAATCACGGACCGGATGCGACGTGCTATCCTCCGATCATCCAATAAACCATCGCTACTCGTACTGTCTATCTGCTTCCAACGCCGATTGAGTCTGATGCCATCCGATTATAATGCAAGATGCTTCAAGTTTTCGGCTATGGATGACTAGTAGTGAGTTATCAGCGAAGATGACCATAAAGCATTGCATCATACCTGGATATTAATTATTCTCGATCGTTTCTAAATATTTCTCGAAGTCAATGAACTCGACGGAGTCATGGTTGCAACAAATTTCGGGATCTGTGTACATTTGCTTCGACAGGTCCGTCCCTCCAGTATCCACGAGCAGCCTGTTCAATGGGTAGCCGGCGAACATACGTGAATTTGCTGCCCTCATCACATCAGGATCTATTTCCATCGGTCCGCATATAACCAATGTATCGAGCTCTGTGCAAAGAACACCCTCGGAGGAGTCTTCATCTTCTATATCACATTCAATGCCCCACAGGAATCCTATATCGATACGATGCAGATCCAGTGCAAGTTCCTCCAAGGATGGTGCAGCTTTGAAAAATCCGTGTATGTCTTCCTGGGGTGGACCTGTATGGTCCACATCTGATAAACATAGCGTCTGGACGCCATGAAGTATCGGTAGTTGTGAATTCAACAGACTCTCTTCTTCTTCCGCGTTTGAAAATGCCATCATAGGGATGATGGTTGGGTGACGCATCGGCTGGGATAGACGTTTGTAGACACAAAGACCCTCATTCTCTTCAGCCGAATCAATGGCGAAAGACAATTGTTTGACATGTGGTACATAGAGGGTATTCAGGACATGGGAAGCTGTCTGTGCATCGAGAACCAATTTGAGCGCCCACAGTGAATGAAGGTATATAGTAGAGATAGCTGATGGTGAAGTAGGCATTTGAGGGCCTGCGTTTATCAGCCGCAGTTCGTTCAGATTCGGGGAGGCCTCGAGCATTTTCACGAAATCCTCGTAAGTGGGTCGTAATCTTGGATGAAGACGAGAAAGACACAACTCCGTCAGTCCTTTCCACGTGTTTTGCATCAAAGACGACGGTGGGATAATTAGCTGCGACCAGCTCATACGAATATGATCCAACCTAACCGACTCAAGAAGAGGCGTGAAGCCCCCAAAGAGCATGCGCGGGTTTCCCATTTCGTCTCTGAACGAAAACAAATTCATGTCAGAATCGTAATCGTTATTATCAAACGTGACCATGAGGGTCCTTAGCAGAGGAGCGCCCTGCGTGCATTTTGCCATGCGATTCATTGCCTCCTGCGCGAGGGAGAACGATATAGTGCTAAGTTCGAGAGACTCCCACTGTGAAACTAGGGGTGTGATGATGTCAAAAATGCTCGCGAGCTCCTCGTGCCCGTATTTTTCGAACAGTTGGTTGTTCAATGGGCTACCTCCTTGCTTCACTGAGCTTAAAGGGGCGAAAAGCTGCATGAATGGCACCGAACCGTCTGGGTTGCGACCTTGGTATCGGAGGAGTCGTCTGCAAGAAAACGAAGGGCTTTCGATGCCGATTTTGAAGCGAAGAGGGGATGTTTTAGACCGTCTGCACCACTCCCTGCACCGTTCAAATGGCGGCATCTCCCACACGGAGAAATATATCTGCGTCCAAATTGCGGGCGTGCTGAGCGCGACGTATCTCCAGAGGCGGCACACATGAGAAACCGTGACATTATAAGGCTTCAAGCAATCTGGAGTCTCAAACCCATCTACTCGAATAAGTCCAATCAGTATGCGTTCGCGACCGAAGGAGCTGCACTCGTACCTTCGGCTTCTTGTTCAAAATACCGATTCGAGCCATCTGCTATATACTAAGCTACGACAGATCGAAACCAAGTGAATTACCGTCGAACGACTTCTCATACCTTCGCTAACCGGTACATCATATTTGTAAGTCGAGGCGTAAGACTCGTCATGAAAATCAATTCCACTGTGCCAACCTGAAGATGCCGATCAGTGAATTGTTCAGTTCGAGATATTCGGAACAGAATCAGACCAAATGTAAACACTAAAGACAAGATTTCGATCGGGAGCTTGTTCACCAAACATCTCCTCTTATTATCTGCTGTAGACATGCAGGAGTAATGACGCGGAATATTCCAGTGATGCGGTCAAGAGTCAGGTCGAAGCGAAGCAACAAAGGGAGCGCATGCTCATGTGTTTACTGCTATTGATAACCCAGCGTGAAGTCACATGTAAAATCAAATAAAAGTCTGCGAATGCTACTAAAGTTATACGATTCTTGATAACTCAGTTTGCATAAAGTAAGTCTGAGGCTCATCCATTGAATCCCTTTACTGTGCCTGCTCCCTTACTACGCTGTTACATTGAGCCGCAGCAAGCAAGCGCGATTTTAAAGTCAGGCAATGAGGGACCATAGTGTTCACAATAGCTGAGGACTTGACGTAAAGCTCAACAACCTCCCAAGTGGTAAGGAGTGCCGAAGAGATTATCCAAAAACCGCCTCGTCTGAACATCTGAGGGATCACGCTTGACAATAACCCAATAAGATTAATCAGCAAAAGGAAGTACAAAGGTGAAAACTGTATAGACATGGTGCGCCTTCAGTCGACTTTCCTGGACCATCGGCGTCCAGTAGGAGCGGTTACAAATCCCTGGGCGGGAGTCGGCGAGGCGGGAGGTACAATGATATCCACCTTCCCCGACTTGTCCCATGACTTCTCTTTCTCTGCCGCAGAGACCTTCCCGATTTCTGCACTTTTCGCCTCCGAGTCTGCACCCCAATATATCCACATCTGCGCACCCAGGACGCAGTTGAACGCAAGCGCTAGCGCGAATCCTAAAAAGAGTAATGAGTCGCCGACCTCGGTGGCGGTCGTGAACAGACGCGCAAGGCAACCTGCGATCTGAGACACGACGGCGAACGTGGAGAGCTGCCCTGTCGAGCGCGCGCGATAGTTCGACATAATCTGCGGAAGCTTCGAGAAAACGCTGAGCGGGAGTGTTCCGAGCTGCAAAAGAGAAAGCGTCGAAGGTGGGATGGCGTAGAGCACAAAAGCGCCGACAATAGTCGCGAGTAGCGTTACTAGAGCAGAGAGATTGTTCGGTCGCGCTCGGCGAAGCGTCCGACGAAGGGTAGTACGCGATAAGAACCGTGATGAGCGCGTTCTGAAGAGTGAGGAAAAAGTTCTCGCCATAGGTCGAGAAAGGGAAGTCGTTCCGATATGAGTATGCGAGTGTGATGGCATATGACAGCGTCTCAGAAATGTACGAAATAAATGAAAGTCCACGCGCCGAACGCGCTTTCAGGACTTGAGAAGTATTTGTTCAGAACGTGTAACCGCCAGACTTTCCTTGGAAAACTCACTAATGAAAGCCTGTGGCAGCTTCATAACACCACCTCCAACAACAATACCCAGCCCAAGACCCTTCGATACAGCGAATTTGAGACAGTCGACATCATTGATATTGAGTTCTTCCACCAGCGAGTGATAGCATTTCTTACATATTTCAAACCAGTAAGCTCATCACCTTAACGCAGAATTCAGTTCAATATATACCTCTCCAACGAGTGCTATTGCAGGTTGACGTATGAACCAAGGAAATTTTTGAGTTATGGCGGTCATGACGCTGGTCGGAAGGTGGTGGGTGAGGAAGAATCGACGACGCGCATACTTTGTACGTGTCCTGTGACTTGACCGTCACAGACCTTTTACTTGTCCTTTCTTCATTTCGCGTCTTATACAATACAATACTGTACTTACCGAGGTCAGTATGAAGATTAAGCGCAGAAGATCGATAATAAATTTTAAAGAATAAACAAAAAGAAGACATTGAGACGATTTATAGCGACAACTGGTATCGATCCAGTGACCTCAAGGTTATGAGCCTTGCGCGCTAAACCACTGCGCCATGCCGCTCTCACTTCGAGTAAAAGGTGGACCTACTAGATGTATATAGTCTAAATACTCGGTCCAATGAAAGCTGAATTTGATGTTACCTGCGGTATCACATTCGCACACTTGTATTGTTGTGAATCTTGCCATGACCTATCTACCTGAAGACGCTTAGGGAGGAGACTCAAGTCCGATGCATTTTGCCAAGTGGATATGCTCAGAGGAACTAGCCTCGTGACTCGACTGCCATCAATGATAGGCGAACCAATTCAACAAATCGAGTCAAGTCTTCTTCGTGACACACATATGCATCCTAACTGAGGTTCGCATGCACGGCCCATGCCATTTGCATCTTTTCTCTTGACTCTCGCATGGAATATGAGTACAGTAACGTCTCTCCAACCCATGAACTCAATCATGTTCTCGACGGCGCTACCCCTCCCTCATATACCCCATCTCCAAACACGCCTTCGTACTCGTACCACCCACGGCGAGACGAAGAGCGGTTGGCTATCACAGCTCGCGAGGGTACGCTGACCCGGACATGGCTCGTTCAGAATGAAGAGCAAAGAATGTGGTGTAGCTCTGCAGCTTAAGGACCAAGAGGAAGGTATTAGCATCCCAAGCTTCGGGCGGAATGCCATTATTTGCGGCAAGCTTGAGTTTTCAAGCTTGGAGGGCATCCAGTGTGTGGAAGTAGAGGTGAGTCTGAACCGTCAATGCATATAAGTGTCATAAAGCTGACGCAGCTTAGCTCGAGGGTCAACTAAAGCTCGCGATTGCTGAAGGTGGCAACTAAGACAAAGCACCTCTTTAGGACCATACATACTATTTGGCAAAAGAGCTCTGACCAGCCGCGATCTTGTCCATCCACTCTTCGATTCGTCGTCCCGATGCCGAACGTCTACTCTGAAGGCGAATCTACTCGACCACTACCTCCAAGTTACCAGATTATTTTCCCTGGTGTTCCTGGTCTCTTCGCCAATAGCATATATACATTTTCTGTGCGAATCAAGAGAGAGAGGAGATTGCTTTGGAAAAGAATTGACGTGTATGTGTACCCAAATATCACATAATTATCCCTACCTTTAAATCGTTTGAAATGTTATGCTATTCAGATTGAGCACGCCGATGAAGTATTATCCTCGGACGCGTGCTCCCCGAGCTATCCTGAAACCTTCTCTGTCATTTTTTTCTGTGCTCAAAATTGCTCCGGAAGAGTTTCGCGAGGTGCCTTTATCTGCTCGGCTTAATGAACGAGTTTTCCGTTAACGTTATTCGTAGGTGCTTTCGATAATGAAGACTCGTGTCGGTTCGGGCTTCGCACCAATACATTGTCTGGTAGGACTTTTTCATTCCTAGCCCAACCACTTTCCGCCGACCTCATCTCTTCTAGCTGTTTATTCCGTCCTCCTGCATTTACGCCATGACCGAAGAGATCCCATTTCATATCCAGCTTATCGCTCCTACAACCTCACTTCTTGCCTTTTCATATCCTCACGTCTATAGTGGTCTCTCTCGTACCTCCGTCGTCGCCCAGCTCCAGACGACCTCCCAGCCCCAATCCGTCTCTCGCCCACCCATAGCAGCCGTCCCTTCAGGCGCATCCATCCGCAGCGCCTCGACGCTGTCCAGGTCCATCAGGCAGAACATCACCAGCATCTCGACAACCTTAAGTCGCTCCCGGTCGGGTGTACGTCAATTGATCCGTGTGTTCCTCCTTCGCCAGATCATCGTCGAGGTACGCGGACAGCGCGCATGGCGAACATGTGTGCTGGGTGAGGGGAAGCTTACACCCAGCCCGCCAGGGCATTCCCCGCCCCGCGCGTACCCATATCCGCGCCCTGAACAGTCGCACTCTTCATTTTTTCACCCTCCAGGCACGAATATAGCTTCGAGGCCAAGCTGTTCTCCACGCCATTCCCTCGTCATGCAACGCACGTCAAGTATATGCTCGGCGAGAGGACATGGCGCGTATGACTTTGGTTACAAATCCGGAGCATGCGCCGATCCGGATGCAGACCCGATCCAAACTCTCGATTGGGATGGTACTGTGCGTGTTGAGAATCCCGCAGAGATCCAGGCTGGTGGATTCACCGTGGGGAACCTTGTCGTGAAGGACTTCGTCGTGCTATCACTCGAGCCTCCCGATCCGGCGCGTAACCCGCTGATTGCGCTCCAACATGCGCATCCGATCCGTCTGGTGACCGATCCGTTGGAGGGCGATTGGACTAGGTAGCTTCAAATCGTGGCGATTCCTGCTGGGACCTATATTCCATCCACATCTTTGTCTTTTTGAACATGTGAGAGTTGTAAAAGGCGCGTCTGATAGCATAGAAGTTAGAAACCATTCTACACCAGCTGCGTTCCGTCAAGAACTTGCAAAGAAATGAAATTGTGTCCACCGAAGTCGGGATTTTCGACCTGTACATAGTACAAGCTTAAAATGGATCGTCGTCGTCGTCGTCGTCGTCATACGGCTGGCTTGAAAAATCATAGTGCTCTGAGAGCGAGCGGTAAGACATTAGCCAATGTGCATCCGCGCTGTGGAAATCCGACTCCTTGCGAAGTCTGACTTTTTCCTCCGGCCACTTGACGTCCCGCATTTTCGCCTCCCCGATTGATGTCAAACATTTCATTTCCTAGACATACGGACTGAAGATTGAACAATTTATATTGGGTGGTGAGATCAGAGGCGCTTGGCAGAATATGTTTTGGTTTGCAGTATTCCTGAGGCCTCGAGTTCGAAAGGCACAAAAACGAGAGTCGTGGGAGAGTACGGTGCATCTTTTTCAGCTACATAAAGCAAGCACGTCAGAACTTTTAGTATGGTTTGGAAGGTCTTCAGATACTTACATGAGGCTCGAACGAAGCATCAACGACTCCACACAGGCGGAGCGCAGTACATTCCTTTGACAATTCGCCAAAAATTTTGAACAGCATAGTGTCCATGAGACGGGGGTCGGAGATTAAGGGAAAGCTAAGACCAATCGCAGTGGCCGACTCCAGTGCACAAGCGGCATATACGATATTGCTGAACCAATCGTCATTATACTGAACTAGGACCCTGGACGGGCTAACAAATCCGGGGACGTTCGGCCACAGCGAGAAATCAAAACGGGCCAAATTTTCGTGCGTACGAATGAATGCGAGAAGTATTTCCGAGTCTTCCTCTAAATCGTGGTCCTGGCCTTCGACATTGTCGTCAATGACTGGATGGTCCAGCTGTAGTTTCAAGTCTCTCAACCTCGGAAGATCAGCGCGAGTCTAAAGGCAAGAAGTCGAAGGTAAACAGATCCAATAGGGTCAGAGACACTAGATTGTGCGCATGTCTCAGGAAGAGGTCTAGTCCTTGGTTATCCCTCGCGTTGTTGATAGCGAGATGCGTCAAACTGTCCGCGACGCGCAGAAGATTTACGTTCCATGCAACTTGTCCAGTTCAAAGAAAGCTCCTTTAGATGAGGAGCATTGACATGAATTAGATTGGTCACGGCCTGCGCATCCGGGAAGCATTCCAAGCCGATGGAGGCTGAAGACTTGTTCGGATCAATGAGTCGGAGCTCCTTAAGAGCGCAGTAGCCCAGTTATCACCTCAGCAGCAGATCCGTAAAGTCTTTATATAGTGTATAAGGCTTTGTGTGGGTGGAAAACAGAATTTGAAGCTTACTGTGAGAGGCGAAGCGTATTAATTCCGGGACAAGACTCGACCAGTTCCTTTGCAATATCCAACGGCAGAGGATTTCCGGTCCACTCGAAACTGCGCAAGTTAACCATCCTTTTCAATACGGAGCGGATGTGATCTGTAGAGATAGATATCCTGTGAGTTATGTTTGTCAAATTTTCACAGAAAATAGTATCAATTTCACGTCTTTCAAAAACTAGATTGTGCTCCGTTGATACGATGACACGGAAGCCAACTACAATCGGAGCCAAAACTGGTTTTTCCTGACCAGATATACGAGGCAGTATATCCCAGGCATTATTCATAACGGCCTCCTCTTTCTCGTCTTGCCAAGGCGCAGCGAGTTCCTCTCGTTCAAAGGGCAGTGGGAAGCGTCCGATGAAGATGTCCAGAGACATCAACTGGTAAATGACTGCAAGTTCGTGAAAGCATCTTGACACAAGACAAGCAGACTTCAGATCACATGGCGGTAGATTGGATAAAATTTGGAGCCATATTTCACCCGGAAAGCAAGACATTAGGAGAGTGAACAGAGAGAAGTGGTGAATATGGCACAACTATTCCTTGTTAGTCTGTTTTCCCACGACTGATCAAGCTTTTGACTCAGAATAACTAGGTGGACAACCTTACACCAAGCATCTCCCGAAGCATTTTCTTGAGGTCGGAGATCCCATGTTTCCCTGGCTTACATCGGTCCTTTATTCCATCCTCGACTAACTGGTGTTTGTTAGGCTGCGGAGCTGTGGGTTGCGAGACGTGGTCAGCGATTATTCGGTTGGCCCAATGGACTCCCCTTCACCGGTACATACCGAATTGTAAATGTGCCGGTGGCTGCTGTCTTTGCTCTGTCAAAGATACTTTTGGAAGGGACCATTCGCATCGAACAAATGCACGGAAGAGTTCTCGGTTGGGAAGCAGTATCGGACATCCAACTCCAGAAGATCCATCCCTCCGCGATAAACCTAATAATATGTCTGGAAGTTTGCACAAATTAAAGAAGAATATCAATAAAGACCTTGTCCCAGGCGGTAATCGAGGTACTTGTGCTGCTCCTGGAAATTATTCACTTATGGACTGATTGTTGTTTAGGTATAAAGGGTTCAACTGGCGCAGGCACAACAGAGACGCTTTTCCCTCTTCCTCGTGGAACAGTTATCAGCAAGTTCTCCTTGTCTAACATGAACGAATCAGAGCTTCTGCTCAGCAATGCAATCTGCCTCGACTCCCTTTCGGAGGAGAGTGATAGCGGTATGCTTATTTATCACCTTTCATAAAAATCTACTTGAAGCGTACTCTATAGATTCTGAATCTGAACCTGGGCTGACTATGACCCACGGTTCAC